GGATGAAGAAAGAGGGGGTGTAGAATTAATAACGCTCTTTGGAGATAGCAAGCGTCAAACAGCATCTAGAAAAATACTGATGTGAGAGAGGATGCAATAGAAGGGAAGAAAAATAAATAAAAAAAAAAAAAGAAAAAAGAAGAAAAAAAAAACATGACACAAAAGCTGTCGTCGTCCCACAAAGTCGCGAGTGATCCTTTATCTGTGAAAAAGGAAAGAAAGAAAAAGGGTAGGCAACAAAAAAGAAAGAAAGAAAGAAAGAAAGAAAGAGAGAGAGAAAAAAAGAAGTTTTCCAATATGCAGATTGGTGGAACCTAATACGAAAAAGTCTCGTGCTTACCGATAGTGTTCGATACACACAAAAAAATACAAAAGGGATAGTCCTTTTTGAAATAAAACCCTTGCTTAGAAACCCTATAGTAGTTCGTAACAATAAAGTTTTCCTTTTAACGATGGCATTACCTAAATTAAGACTTACTAAACATTTTTATTTGACTTTCTTTCAACTAACTTTACTTTTATTTCATTCATGTTGGATCTAATAAAAGTGTACTTTTATTTCTACAAAAAAAAAAAGAAAAAAAAAAGAAATGAAATTTTCTTTTATAAACAATAATCGTGATATCATCCGATATTCTTTCTTCTTTCATTTTCCCATAGATACTTATATATATATATTGAGAAAATAAAGTCAATAAGTTCGAAGGACTTGATATCCCATCCCGTTCAGTTGTTTCTGAGTAAACGTTCAAACTATGAGGGGTTGGGGAGTGGAGAAAGACTAAAAATCAGAGCTTGCACAAGAGCAATTTCAAGGGGATTAGTTCATCAATGTTTCATGAGACTACTACCAACCACCACACACGAGAAAACGTAATCTACTCTTTAAAATGGTAATCGAAAGAAGAAAAAAGAAAGTAATGTTCTTTTTCCAGTATCACGCATCACACTTGAGTTTCAACGAGATTTTGGAATTGTTGAGAAAATTTACACCCCTTCTCGCAAAACCAATTGTAATTTTGATTGTCAATAAGAAGATGGACAAGTTAATACGTCATATTAATGTTCAAATATCTGCCAATCATTAGTCGAACGTGAAACGCATTGAATTTTCGTGTGTTAACACAGAATTTTGCGATGTTGGTAGTTGTAGTAGTAGTAGTAGTAGTAGTAGTAGTAGCACAGTTAAGCAGGGCTACCATCACCCTATACGAGGTTGAACGTTATCGTACACGTTAGCGATGTTTTGTACACTAATTAGCTTCGTACCCACCACCGGTGGACAGCTGATTTTCCAGGTAGCGTTGATTGACGCGATACTCGAGTTTCATGTCCGAACCTCTCAATTGGGGACTGAATTGTTCGAGCGTATCGATACTTCGTTAAACACACTCATGCTACGACCGAGTGCATCCTATTACTACGTTGCCGAAATGTCATTCTTGTCAATGACAACCCTACCTGCTGGGTGTCACATGGTTAAAACCACATATTACCTACGATCATTTCGTGAAGCTTTTTTTTTCTCGTTTTAATACGCAGACGATTCAAAATTTATGTTTCATAGATTTTTTTTAATCATACCAATTGGTTATGGATTATTTAATAAACTTATTCTGGATTATCCGATATTGTTTGATAATTTAAATTCTATTGGAATTTCCAAATTATTACGAATGTTTCTCTATCTCTCTTTTTTAATTAAAAATTATTACGTTTTGAAATGAACTCATTTCAATTGAGAAAATATTTCATATTTTAATATTATACTTCATGGATAAATAATTAAATAGATGCTTGTATAATATTTAAACATATTTTTCATTTTGTTAAATTTTTACATGAAAAGAAATTATTACTTTCAAATAGAATTAACATTCAAGTAGTACAAGTCAAAGATTTATCTGATGATATTTTTAAGTAGTACAAGTCACAGATTTATCTGATGATATTTTTAAGTAGTACAAGTCACAGATTTATCTGGTAAGAAAATTTTCAGTAGTACAAATCAAGCATTCAAGTATCTGATCAGTAAACTAACTTACAAAATCTTAAAGAATAATAATTTTCTTGTCACAATTTTTGTTTTTATTTAAACAAAATATCAAGTATAAAATAAAAAAAAGATATGACCATTAAGAAAAAAAAATTAGGAAAAAATATAAAAAATAAAATTCACGAGACAGATTTGTGAATGCCAGTATTTATTATTCCTCGAATATTTTTCTTTTTTGTTTTATATATATGTATATATATATAATACTTTCTAACGTTGGCAACATATGCGCATATTTCACTTTTTCCTAACAAGACAAGGATAAAGAAAAAGAGAGAAATGAGGAGAGGAGATGAGAGGGAAGGAGAAGGGTGGTAGGTTGAAAAAACGAGAAAGAGGAGGAAGTGGTAGAGAAAAAGTTGCGTGCAACAGAAACGCCATGACTCTAACACATAACTCTTTGCTAAATTAGAATACCACATGATCGCATTTTTATACCCTTCTTTCTATCTTTTTTTTTAACCCCCTATGCCTTGTTTTGTGTAGATTTTTTTTTTCTAGAAAAATAATCTAGTAATCAAATACACAAATAAGAAAAATAAGAAGAAGAAGATAAAACGAAACGAGACTGTTGAAATTGTGAAAAATCGTTGTTTCAATAAAAAAGGAAAATAAATCATAAATAAGAAGAAGAAAAGAAAAGAAAAAAAAAGAAAATGTATAAATCAAATGACGAATTATTGTATGGTGTTTTAAAAAGTCATAACAATTTATTTGAACGTTTTATATCACTCTCGTACATCTCGAAGATCAACTATCTCTTTTGACGAAGTAAAACACGAGTGCCATTATAAATGTCTCGAGTATAGGAGAAGCAAAGTACTCTACTTAACCCGGTTAAAAAGAGAAAAGAAAAGACGAAAAGATGATGACAGGGGTGGATAGGGGGTGGTTAGCAAGTATGACGACGACTATGACGACGACTATGACGACGATACGTCTGGGTGCATAATAAAATCTTTCTTTCTTTCTTTCTTTCATTTTTCATCTTTCTTTTAAGGTTATTTCAAGTTGTTTTTTTTTTTTCATTTTTTTTTTCACTTAAATCTTCAACTAAATATTAAAATAACATTTTCGCATATAAATTTATTAAACTAGGATAAATATATCTATATGTATATATATTTATCATAAACCACATCACGAAGTAATTATTTACCCCCGAGGTCTTTTCATTATTTCGTACATTAATGATCGTCGTAATTAAAGATTCCTCTCTCTTTCTCTCTCTCTTTTTCTCTTTTTCTCTATTTTTTTTTCTCTTTTTAAATTTACCTTTAACTAGACTTTAATTAAAATTTATGATTTTTTAGTTCAATTTTTTGTGTGTGGTTTAGTTATAGTTTTGTTTGCTTTAAAATAAATCAACTTTGAAAATATCTAGAAAAAATTGTAGAAAAAAAAAACAATTATTTATAGGTTTTTATTTCTTTTATTTTTTTCTATTTTTTATATTATTTTTATGATATATATTTTTATAATACATATTTATTATTATTATTATTATTTTATTTATATTTATGTTTATTATATTTGCATAAGAATACAAAATACATTTGTAAAATCAAAAAGTTTAATTATTTTCTCAAAAAAAAAAAAAAAACTTTTGTAATTATAGTAAATATAGTAAATAAAAAATAATGAGAAAAAAGAGAAAGAGAATGAGATACATTATTATTATTATTATTATTTTCTTTTCTGTATCCATTCTAAGATAGAAATAATGGGTAATTATCTAAAGAAACCTTTTTCCCAGATAATAAACTCTGACCAACCATTAAGTACAGAAACGAGCAATCCAAAGTGAAAAGCCCCCCACATCGTTTTCGGTGTTCATCCTTTTGCCGAACAACGCTCGAACCAGTTTCGTTTCGTTCGGTCATTCGCCAATCCTGTTTTAAAGCTTTCGAAATAGGGTCAATCGGTGACATTAAGGGAGGAATTTCAAACTATTCACCTACGGTCAAAAACCGTTCACTTGCTAATCCTTTGTTCATTAGCTAACCCAGAAACGAATATATATATACATACATACCATATCCTTTAAAGTACACTTGAACCTTATACTTTACAGTTACTGTTTCAAAAGTCCCTTTTTTTTATTTTTTTTTTTTTTATTTCAAGTTACTCTCATCGATCGTCCCTTTTTATTCCAACCCTTTTTCATCCTCTTACTTTCTTTTACTTTTACTCTTATTTTTTTCCCCTTTTTATTGTTCTTTTTCATTCTATCATTTTACCTTTTATGATAAAATAAAACCAAAAAAAAAAATGTTTTAACAAATGTTAAAATTGTTGCATTGAAAATACATCACCCCCTTTTTTTGTACGTATATTATGCGTACATATGTGTGTGTAAAGTATATATATATAAAATACTTATTCACTTTAATGAACGACTCTTTTTTAAAATAGAAGTATTTACCATGAATATTTGATTTAATTCGTATCCTGTTTTATATATATATATATATGTGATTTTTTTTTGTTCATCAAAACGTGATTCGTTAAAATTGGATATTCTAGATATCGGATTGAAGATCTATTTTTTTTGTTTCTTTTTTTTTTTGTTTTATCTATCTCCTATCTCTCTATCATTCTCTTTTTCATTTTTCATTTTCATTTTCATTTTTTATTTTTTTTCTCTTTCTTTTTTTTTTTTTATATTCCCCACATCAATTTTTACTCGTTCATCGTTTGATGAAAAATGTAATACCCGTTGAATTTGAATCTCGAAAAATATATTCTTTATCCTCTTACATTAACAACATTTTTTGGTGGATTTTTTTTGTTGAAAAATGACTCTATAGAATATACATTGAAGAAATAAATAAAGAAATAAAGTACAAATCCATTGAATTATAAATTATTAAAGTAATACTATTAAAAGTTTGTGAAAATGTGATATTAATTCAATAATATATATATATAATATATAACTTACCACAAGTATATACGACTTCGAAATACGTCTTGATTTCCGGTCTGCATGGGTCGTTAAACGTAGTGCTGTTTGCCACGATGGAACAATGTCGTTTTCCATGGCACATTTGTATTACAGTCTCAGTAGCATAAGTCGCTGTACAAGCTGTCAAATAACATAGAGAAGAAAATGATATCGTTAAAATAACAATGAATGATTGTTAACAAGAACTTTAGTCGAATTTGAAACATTAAATAAACTTCTGTTTCAATCTTTGAAAGGAAGTAAGAAGACGAAGAAGAAGAAGAAGAAGAAGAAGGAGAAGGAATTTCAGTAAGGAGTACTAAAGATTTCAAAATCTCAACACCTGTTGAACCGAATCTAATTCGAGTTCGAACGTTACTCGAATAATACATAAACCTAAACTCTACGTTAATCTTTTACAAAAGGTACACACTATAGAAACAACATTTTGTTTTTATATTTATTGGTTTATATATTTTTATAATATATATATATATATATATATATATATATATATATATATATATATATATATTTATTAAGTATTTATATTTTAAAATAAATTACTAAAATATAAATGATAAATATTAAATTAATAAATTAATTTATATTAAATTATAATAATATTATACAATAATAAAAAATAAAAATCTAATAAATGTAATATAATAATACTGAAAAATAAAATTAAAAAACTAAAGAAAAAAAAAAAGAAGAAGAAAAATTGACACAGTGTTTTCAATAAACCAAAGCAACCAAAATGGAAAAAACAAAAAAAAAAGCTAAACAAGAGAGAAAAAATACAAAATTGACAGCAACATGCTAACGTAGTCGAATAAAAATCGTTATCAATCCATCGATCTATCAATCGATATAGAACTAGGAAGAAATGCAAGTAGAAAAGATTGAAAATGCATTCGGAAAAAACTATTCGATGAATTTCGTTTCGTTTGACTCGCACCCAAACGAATCGTCTTTTTATACTCTCTCTCACTCTCATTCTCTCTCTCTCTCTCTCTCTCTCTCTCTCTCAGTCTCTCTCGTAGTCCTCTTTGCAATATCAAAGCCAAAAAAAGAGACAGAGAGAGAGAGAGAAAGTTTTTCGATCGATAACACTCCCCTTTCACCTTCCTCTTCCAGCGTTTGGTTGTTTTAAACAAAAGGGTCATTAATCGAGCGGACTCACTATCGTTTTTCAGTCCGTGAGGTTGCGGACACTGAAAGGACTCGTACTCCGGTTTACCAAAGGACGCACGTAAAATGGCCACTCTCTGTCCAGGGTGACAGGTGAGATTAACAACGTCGTTTTCGCAAACCACCTTCCTCCTGAATTCGTCTGAAAACAGAAAAGAAATATTTAAAGTAAATAAAAAAATATACATACTCCCCCTTTTTTTTTTCTTTGCTTTAGTTTTCTTTTTTTTATATAATAAATTTACTATACTAACTTGGTTTACCAAGATTTCATTCGTATCCTAAACATTTATAAATGTTTTTCTATCTAAAAATATATTGACAATGTAATACGATATTATGTTAATTTATTTTTATTAAATTAATTTATTATAGTTTAATTTAAATATTTAACTTGAAAAATTGCAATTAATATAGTTATTTTATTATATTATTTATTGTAATATAATAAATTATGTTTCTTTATTCTTTGTTTTATATGTGTCTTTAAATCGTTTCCCTTATGATTTATCTAAACTACTTATTTGAAAATGTATTAAAAATATAATGTACACCATATTATATTATTTTATTTAAATATAATTAAATAAATACAATTATTTAATTATATTATTTAATATAATTTAATAAATAATATTTATTAATTTTATTTTAAATCTTTCTATAAATAGTTTTCTTTATGGTTTACCTAAACTACTTAAATTAGGTCCGAGTTAGACACCACACACTTTTTACTACTATTTTTCTTTTCTTTTTATTATCACAAAAGTCAAGTTAGTTCAGCAACACTTATACCATAGATAAAGTGTTTCTATGTCTTACTTTATTGAGTCGACAATTTACGTTAAGTCTATTTCTTTCTCTCTCTCTCTCTCTCTCTTACATACTTGCATATATACAAGGTATATATAAGTACATATACGTACATAGTAACCGCTTACTTATATACTCGCGAAGTTTGTGTAGTAAAGACGATCTAAGGTGGAGAAGAGCCGATATTGTCGTCTAGTAGTTGTTACCCCTTGTTCACCCTCCCCTTTCTTACTACCTTCATCCCTTGTTGGCGAGATTTTCGAGAAAATTGAGAATCGCATGCCACCACCAACGCGAGTAGGGTTGCGAAAGACGCAAATATATTACATGTAGTACTAGTAGGTGTGCTTTTGTTCTAGACTGCTAAAATGTATCATATATATATATATGTGATACGTGTATATATATACATGTATATCGTTAATATTATCTTTCTATGTATTATATATCTATAAAACTTGTACCAAGTTATCGAATAGTATTACAAATATATTGTATATTTATTTTATTATGTATTTTATTATATATTTATTTATTTATTATATTATTTATAAAAACATACCTCTTTTATTCCTCACCTCTTTCTCTCTTTCTTATTCAATCTATTTATCTATTTCTCTTACATTTGAAATTAATAATTATTTATAACATATGCATCTACAAATATAATCGATAATATCATTTCTTTTTGTTTCAAATAATTTCTTATATTTCTCAATAATAATAATAATAATAATAATATTAATAAATACTGCTTGTGTTAATTAAACATTCAGTTCAAATACTAATGAAATTCATCATAATTATTTATCGTGTTTACAAATACATATATATATATTCTATGCATTTACACAATAAATGCATTCATATTTGCAATACTCTCTTTATATACCTTTTTATATATACATATATATTCATTCTCTCGGTGTTTCTTTCTCTCTCATTCTTTTATTTTTTTGTTCCTTCTACCTTTTGTTATTAGCGTACGCCTGAATAAAGAGGAAGCTATCGAAGGGCAGGTAAAGAACGAACTTTTGCAAAGGCACCGATGTTAAATGGTTCGTGAAATTTCTCGAACAAGGAAAACGTACCAACCTTACTCAACGAAAGAGACAGAGAAAGAGAGAGAGAGAAAGAGAGAGAGAGAAAACGAGAGAGAAAAAAAAATAAAGGAAAGAAAGAGAAAGAGAATGCAATCCAACCGAACCTTTCCTAATAATCGAACCGATAGAAATCGAGACGGGTTGGATTTTTTTAATTGGCACAATTCTCTCGACTGAAAGGTAAAGCAAAATCATAATAAAAAAAAAAAAATAAAAAATGAGGGATGATCAGGGTGGGTGGGAGGAAAAAAAGGGTTTTGAGAAATAGAAAGAGAAAGACAAAGAATTAAAAAAAAAAAAAAAAAAATTGGGAGAGAAAAGAATAGATAAACTCATCATCAATGGTGATTATTATCGTGAAAATGCATAGTTCTTTTTTTTTTTTTTTAATATTTTTCTTTCCTTACAAATAACCCCTTTCCTTCCTTCCTACCATCAACCCTCTCTCTCTCTTTCTCTCTTTTTCTATATTTCGTTTTCTTTTCTATTTCGATCGATCCATTTTCCCTACTTCGAATTATTAATGATATTTCTATGTACATGTGTTGGTATACGTATGAACATGTATACACATTCTAAATGTTGAGAAAAGAAAAAAAAATGGGATATAATAAGAGTGAAAGAGGATCCAAAAATAAAAGAAAAAGTAAGAGAGAGCGAGAGAGAAAGAGAGAGAGAGAGAGAAAATAAAATGAAAAAGCAAAAAAGCAATTGAACGAACGCGTTATCCTTTTCTTTCYTTCTCTTTCATATACTCATACACATATACACAAATAAATTCATGTGCAGATACACGTTTACTTGTTATATATACACGAAGAAATGGAATTCTTTTCAGGAAGTCGTTGTTGAGAACGTCCGGCCCTTTTTTTTCGACTATTTCCCGTAGAATTCCGGTGAATAATGAAAAGGGATGGATATTCGAGTCGGTGGCTTCGTAAAGGAGATGTTATTAGATTTTTTGACTCCTCTCATGGTTCAAATCTTGTCTTTTTTCTTATTTTATCTTTTTCTATCCAACCTTCTCTCGCTCATTCATTTTCTTTTCTTCGTCCTTTTCTTACAAAACACCACCCATTTCCGGATTTTTAAACGCGTGTACTTTCTCTCATTCACAAAAGATCATCACCGTGCAAGAATTTTTGCGCAAACATTTCTTGTCTTTTTTCTTTTTTAAACCAATTACGATCTTTTAATCTAACATTTAATTAAATTAATCCTTAAAAAACATAGAACATACTTGTCTAATAAAAAATGTACTAAACTTATATCAGAAATTCTTGTTAAAAACAATACGAGATGGTTCAACGATACACGAAATAAACACATACCTAAACGTATATATGTGTAACACACTGGGTAATGTGCTCGTCCAAGTGTAATACGTCAACGTGACGATTACATATTACACGTGTCGCGTTACGTGCCAAAGCCAGCCGACACCTCACGTGTCGGCCGCAAATCCATTCGACGAATGAACGAACGAACGTACGTACGAACGAATGAACGAACTAACGCACGTGCCACTTATTGAGAAACACTTGGTTATATGTATTCAAGTATTGTTACAAATGAATGTATCATTCGGTCATTGAATATGTATGCGATTATCATTAACAAATAAAAAAAAAAAAAACACAAAAAAAATGAATTAAATGAAATTACAAACTCGTATAATCTCATACGATCTCATATGAACTCATTTCACATTCACACGTAATTATACAAATAATAATAATAATTATTATTATTAGTATTATTATTTATAAGTGGACATTATAATTTTTAAATTATATTAAAATATAATATTAACTATATACTAATTTAATATTATACATAACATAATATATGAAAAATATAATATAATATTCAAATTAATTTGAATAACTTAAAATATAATTTATAAAATAACTTTAAAAATAATATTTATAACGTTACAAATATGTATATGTATATTTTCAATTCGTCCACGTGAATGCAATTGATATTTTTTTTTTATTTAAATAATTATACATAATATAAAGTAATAAAAAAAAAAAAAGAGAAAAGAACAGAATATTGATCGAATATGCAGTTGAATATGCAATTGCATATGCAGTTGAAAGTAGATACTTATAATTCATTTTCTTTTTTTTATTATATTTTATTTTATATTATATATATTTATGTAATTAATCTAGATGTATATATTAACTAAAAATGATAACTTACAAGGACTGCACTTGTAAGCGACCTCGACGTACTTTGGAAGACCAGGACATGGATCCTCTTCGAAGGTCTTCGGACTCGTGTTGAATTTACACTGCCTCTTATTCCGACACATCTCGACGACAGTCTGCAACAGTGAGTACTAATGCGTCATTCAGATGACCCGCTCATTTTATAGTAAGACAGGTATTACATAAAGTAAATAATTACTGTAAGTACTGAGCGAAGGGAGATATTCATAAAAAGAAAGAAAAAAAAAAAAAAAGAAGAAATAACGTGGAAGTACATATTTTTTTTTTTCTTATGAATCTTCATTGAAAGACACCTCTTTACAAATTTTTCTACGTTGCACACACACGTTGTATGTATAAGTCTCATATATATATATATTATAAAAAAAAAAAAGAAAAAAAATATGGGTCATTTGAAAGATAAGAAAACTCAGAAGTTTATTCTCAACTCTCTTATCAACGAAATGAAAAATTTAATTGGAAACAAAAAATAATTTAATATAATATCGAATTATATTTTAGAAAGATTGAGAGAGAAAGGATCGATTGCAGGAAAAATAAATCGTCAAACTTTTTAACGAAGAGAAAAATTCAGGACATCGTAGTGTAGTAGTAGTAGTAGTTCTGCAAAATATGAGAAATAAAGAAAGAAATAAAGAAAAAAAGAAAGAGAAGAACGAGTTTGAATAGTTCAATCATTACTGAACGATATTTTTAATTAACAACGTGAATTTTATATTCCATGTTGTAACACTTATTCATTAAACTATGAGAAAGAATAAAAAAAAAAAAAAAAACAGAGAGTGTGAAGTGAGTGAAATTCATTTTCTATCAAATTGAATTTACTAGTTTTAGAAAGGAGTGTTGGCAACATTACTTGTTCTCTCTCTCTCTCTCTCATAAACCACGATCATGGCACCAGGTATCCATACGGTGATTGTTTCGGATTCCTGAAATTCTGTCTTCACTGGAAATTTGTGGAAGGTTCGATCGAACGAACGAACGAACGAACGAACGAATAGCACAGCTTGCTAGTGTATTAGTTTGCTAGTAGATAGATAGTAGGCAAAACGAGGATAAAATTAAATTTACCCGATCGCATATCTGCGGTTTTGTGAAAACTCATCCTTCTCCATTTTACCATTATCCATATCCATTATCCATATCTACAACTTTAATTTCATTTTCTTTTAATAAAATATTACATTATTGAATTATTTAAACTGTTACCTTTTTCTTTTACATATTTATTCGTATAAGAAATGTATAATTATCTGATCTTTCTCATATCATTCATTATAATTCCTGACAAGGATTACTGGGAAATATGTTTTATGAATTTTCCTTTAAAATGGAGATTTTGAAATTCGTTAACCCATCATATTAATTTTAATCTAATTTTTCTATCCATACTAAAAATACCTAACTGATATTAATTACGTTAAAAAAAAAAAAAAAAATCAAAAAGAAGAAGAAGAAGAAGAATAATAAGATGAGAAAATAGAATGTAGAAAATTAGAAAATATAAAAGGATGATATGAGGAGAAAGGTGAGATATTACTTAGTAGCACAGACAATACAGGTACTATAGGTAATCGTTTCGTTTAAGTTGGACCATCAATCCATCTTTGTCTAACCCAATGACGATCCAATCATTGAAATTCTCAGGTTTAACTTGAGATAGATAGAACACAAGCGTCACTATATTTCCCAAACACAAGTCTGTGTTCTCACAGACTTCTGTCCCACAGGAGGAATCGATTTTCGGTATTACTGAGAGGGTCTAGGGGGGCGAAGGGGTGAACACGTAGTTACGATACGTACCACTAGGCCACTACCACCACCACCACCACCACCACTACCATCATTGCAACCCCCTTTACCTTTCCTGATCAATCTACCCTATTCTGAACGGACAACTTGCTCGCGCTTGCACACCACCTACACCGTGTTCCGTTAATTCGTTGCCTAATGAGTCACTTGTCCATCCCTTTCCTCTCTATCAACCCATCCCCACCCATCAAACTCAGTCCCCGTTTGGGTTAAGGAACGATACTTAATCTGTCAGTCAATCATTTAAGCTTTCTAATCTTCACCAGTGATCACACACATCTTATATGTGATTCTTGATTTTGTTTATTTTCATTTGAAATGGTTAACTTGTTATTTTTTTTTTTTTTTTTTAAATAAATAAGGTTGAAGAGAGGAAAGTTAATTATCCATCTATTTTTTTTTGCAAGCCCTAATTTAAACTTTCAACACTGTTAGAACGATAATTAACTCTGTGTTGGCAAAGTGTTTTGTTTTTTTATTTTTTAAATAAATAAGAAATAAGATTGAAAAAGAATATTAGATAAATTGGATAAGATTGATGAAAGAGAAAATGTGATTATTTATTCAATAATGTTATTATTAGAATTTATTCTTTGCAAATGTCAAATGATTTCATTTGCGAATCATATTTGAGAACAAATCACATGATTTATCTTTTATTGATTTCGTTAATGTGAGATAAGACAGTACAGTTGTATAATGAAAAGAAATGAAAGAAAATAAGATAGAAAATGTAATCCAAAGACAGAAGATTAAAACAAACTAAACTAAAAAGAAAAGAAAATAGGAAACAAATAAATAGGTAAAATGGTAACTGACCTGAAAAAAATAAAAATAATAATAAAAATAAAAGAAGAAGAAGAAGATAGTCTCTCTCGTATTTCATCAAGCGTGGAAAACTGACAATCTCGTTTTGAAAAGGATATGCAATGAGCAAGTTAGTATAAGAGAAAGAGAGAAAGAGAGAGAGAGAGAGAGAGAGAGAGTTGAGGATACGAAGAGAAAATCCGTTCGATCGCGAATACATTGGCAATGTGAAGCACGTTTTTTACCAATGGTACCTAAGCTTTTCTTCGTTTAACCTGCTTGAACAAACTTCCCTAGCTAGTTTATTTTCTCTATCTTTATCCACTATATTTCTCTTTCATTTATCTATCAACTTTTTGTTTTGTTTTTCTTGACTTTACATTTAACTATTGGCATTACCATTACTTCAATGATATTCTAATTTATTGTGATTTATTTCTAATTTAATTTTATTCAATGTTTTATTTTTAACAACATTTAGGTTACTTTATGATTTCTACTTCGTTAAAAGAACGTTGAGGGGGAAAATAGAAAGAAAAGATGAAAAAGAAATAGGGAAAAGAAATTTAACTGTTTAAGGGTAATAACAAAAATTGAAAACAAAGTGAGAAATATTATTATTTTTAAACGAATCAATCCAGCTTGCTGAATAAGAAGAAAGAAAAAACAAATAAAAAAATAAAATGAAACAACATATTATATATTTCTTCACAAAATGCAACAACTTGTTCTTCAGTTGTTATTCGAACTTTGATGACAAGAAATAATTTGTTATAAACATATAAAAACGAATGATAAGATAATCAAAAGTTTCTTTGGAAAAATTACATGAACAAATTTTCAATTTTCATATTGTAAAAATGTACCCTTGATAAAATAATTTGAGTTTTGGAAAGAAATATGAATTCAATGGAGGAATACAATCAAACACGTAGCAGAAAACAATTCAACAATACTAATTTCAAAAATTACATATAATCAAACTGGACTTGATTGGAAAAAATCTTGAAAATAAATTCATCGTCAAAATACGTGTTTCATTTTCTAAAAACGAATCTTCAATGATAACCTGAAATTTCATGAAACTCGTTCTTCTTTAAAAATTAAAAAACAATAATAATAAAACAATGAAGACAGATTAATAATAAAAAAAAAAAAAAAAAGATTAATGTTGTACTTCCACGAGTCAAAAAAAAAAAAAGAAAATAAACAAAACGTTTTTCCCTTATCAATTATTTGCAATGAAAGTTTATTTTGTTTGTACTAATCAACGTTGAGACATACCTGTAAAGTAGATAACAAACACGTATCGTTGCTTTGTTGATTACGATCGATGACAAAATTTGATGAAAGATCGGAGGAAGATATTCCACATCTTAATGGTCCACTTCCAGCAACTCTCCCATAACGTGCAAGTGCGACTGATACCGTTGTACCTGGTGGACATTTTAATGTCATAGTTTCCTCGTCACAGGATGCACGTTGATAGGTCTTCAGGGTGCTTGACAAAAGTGCTACAATAACATTAACAGAAAAAAAAAAAGGGCAACGATGGAAGACACCACATTTGTTTGAAGTCAACGAAAAAAATGATTGACCATTGCAAATACAGTGAGACAAAAAATTGAGAAGGATTGAAATTGAGGGTAAGTAAAAAAGTATAGAAAGAGATAAATAAATGGAAAGATAAAATCACATGGGAATATAAAATCAAAGTAAAAAGAATAAGAGATACAATGAAGATAAATAGTAAGAAAATAAAAAACAAAAGTAAAGTAAGAAACACACCCCCCGAAAGTAACCCATCGAGAAAAGCAAAAAAAGTATATGTATCAAGTGGTAGAAGATAATGAAGAGAGATAGATAGATAGATAGATAGATAGATAGATAGATGGATAGACAAAGAATAGAAAAGAATGAACAAGTAAGAGAGAGAGAGAGAGAGTATTGAAGACCAATAGACGAGTCGTAGAGTGCCGTAACCACAATGGCGATCGATTCAAGGGGATTCGGGGTAATTAACGAGTGGATCAGTCGGGGATTGGTTCACGAGACACAAGAGTAGGTAGATAGTAGGGTGAGTGAATGAGTGAGTGAGAGAGAGAGAGAGAGAGAGAATGAAAGAGAGGGAGAGTAAAAGAAGAATGGATGGGGGTATGAGAGTACGGAGTGTCGGGTTGGGGGTGAGGTGAATGGGATAGGGTGAGGGTGGTGTATCGATGACACGGATTTAGCCACGAAAGCACCGTAGGTTTCGTTTGCAAGCGATACATTGGTCGCGTATCGGATGCACCGAGGTGATGGTGTGTGATGGTGGTATGCAACGAAACAGTATGAGTATGAGAGAAAGAGAGAATGTGTGGGTGAGATTGGACACGAGTAGACGTCATTTGTGGGATTTAGTGCGGAGAACGTTCGGGACAGTTCGGCACGATCGGAGTTTGAGTTTGCATACGGAACCGCGAACCGTTTTTGGTTTTGAACATGCGAAATTGACGAGAGTGTGTTTTGCCATTGGTAAAAAAAATGAATTTTTTATTTTTGCACAGAATTCCGAGAGAGAGAGGAGAGAGAGAGAGAGAAAGAGAAGATAAATGTCACGTAGTCATAGGATCGTGTCAACGTATTTTGTCATAATCGATAACGTTTCTCGTATGTTAAAAGGAAAATGGTGAAGGGGATGGAAAATTGAAATGTTGTAAAATGATATCCCATTGAAGATAATGTTTTAATAAATGTGCACATGTCCATTTAATTTCAAGATAATAATTAATGGTTTCAATGAGATTCAATGTTACCCATCAGCGAGTTTCAATCAATCAATCAGAGTTGTGTTCAGCATCAGTCCAGAATTTTTCGTACGTTCCAATGGTATGATGATGTTACATGAAAAAGAACAAAAGAAATAGTTTATATTAATATTATATCATACTTCAAATAATCATTATAATTATTATTAATAATACAATTAATGCGTTGTTTGATGTAAAACAATATTTGTTCTGTTTAAACGATTATAAAACGTTCATTCACAGAGAATTTGATCAAAGATCTTGAGATCTTGTTCGACCTCATTGGTTAACGACTCGTGTCTCGTCTGTTAAAAGATGATACCGAGTAAGAATGAACGAGTGAAAAGGCCAAGCTTAGAATCGAATGGAAAGGGAAAAAGAGAGAGAGAGAGAGAGAGAGAGAGGGAGGGTAGAAGGGATATCTCTCAAAAGGGATCTTCGTCTCTTTTAATAACGCGAAAAGAGGAAAAAGGCAAGGATGGTTCCTTTGTTCGTTGCAGAGAATTTGCTCGTTTACTGGGTCAGCTTCGGTAAGAACTTCAAACGTTAAAGAGATAACGAGAGACCAGAGATTTAAGATGAACTACAACTAAGAGATGGTGGGGGGAGGGAGGGAGAGGTTGTCTTAAGGAGTTATTATATTTTGTTAAGAACAAATTGTAGCTTTATATGTACATACAAAGTGATACATAAACGTGACGATGATACATAAATTAGGAGAATATTAATTGTTATTGATTGTTTTTTACGTAATAAATATGTAAAAAATAAAATGAATATTGTACTATTGCAACGATATACTTTTAACGTAATAATTGTAAAGAAGAGAAATGAATATTTAATAAATGTAATAAATATTCAATAATAATACACTTGATTTTGATTTTTATTTTTTCTTATCATTTACTTTTTTTTCTCCATTTTAATAATTCTTATAAATAATTTTATTGCAAATTTTCTTCAAGTAGAAGTAACAGGATTCTCGAGTTTTAACGAAATCGTAGTATCGTATCGTTTAATTAATTACGAATAACCAAGTCTAGAATACTTTTAAATGACTAGTTGATTAGTCTACAGTCTTTTTCTTCTTCTTCTTCTTCTTCTTCTTCATCGAAAGAAAAAGAAAAAAGAAAAAGAAAAGAAAAAAAAAAGAGAGAGTAAGATACGATTAGGTTACTAAGTCTATTTCTACGAACACTTTTCTGATGAAAACTAAATAAAATTGTTAAAGGAGTTAAAAAATAAAAAAAAAAATAAAATAAATTCAAGTTTGATGAGTTTTCACGTTAATGTTAAACTATCAGTGAATAGAATAAATTTGAGCGTATGAGAAAGTGAAGAATATATTTAACGAATACAATGATAAAATTGATAGAAGAATAATAATAAAAAATGTGACAAATCTTTACTTAATTTTTATACATATATAAAAATAGTATTCGTTGATATAATTTATCAAATGGTTTATAATATTCGTGTAGAAAATTAATCATGTTTTATTTTAATTAAACATCATTTTAATTCTCTCCTTTTGTTTAAATCACTATTGGGATATTACCAAAAACCAAATTCGAAATTTAATTAAACGAGTATTATACATAAAAAAAAAAAAAAAATAATAAAAGAACCAAACTTTTCACAAGTTTTTGATTTATGGTTCAATCAAAGTATTAACTTTCATATTGCATATTTGTTCAGACAATTTTTCCAAGCAAATATAATTGTCAGAATATTACTAGAAATAAAAAAAAAACAAATATTGTGTGTAATATTAAAGCAAGTAAAAGATAAAAGATAAAAGATAAAAGATCAAAAGAGAAAGAAAGAAAGAAAGAAAGGAAGAAATAAGAGAAAACGGAAGTAGAACGGTAAATTCGTGAAGTTTGTTCAGCTGTTACGACCTTTCTCCACCAAGAGTCAAAATAAATATTGTATGTACAAAAGAGATATTACTATGATCTTTCATTGTCTTATTCACATATATATGCTTATTAAAATTCTAGTTAAATTATTAAAATATTATTTAATTAATGATCAATATTTTTTAATAATTAGTTAGTTATTTAAAGTATACTTGCAACAGAATAAAATACAAAAAATTAAAGAAAGGTGCTTCATGGTTTTCAATAAAGTTGCATCAGAATTTACAAATCATCACCAAAAGATAAAAACAAATACTAGTTAGGTATATCTGCAACAAAATAAAATAAAAAGGTGCATCAGGGTGGCCTTAGGATTAGTTCATATTAAAATTTATCAAAGAATTATAAAAAATATGACAAAAAAAAAATCTTACAGAAAAAATGAGAAGAAGGAAAAGTAAAAGGAAGATAAAAGAGCAAGAAAAATAGACAAAAAAAAAAATATTATAAAAGTAACAAAGTAATAAAAAAAAAAAAAAAATATAAGAGGACAGATTCTTTTGAAAGTCCTTTCGTTTTGATACAAAGCTTGGACGACGCGTTTACAGATGACGACGATGACGACGATTCAGAGACAGAGAGAGAGAGAGAGAGAGAGAGAGTTAGTACGTTGGTAAGTTAATCCGAGTTCAAAGGGCACTCGAAACGGAAGCTTACGAAGGGATTAAAGTGACGTTCTCTCTCTCTCTCTCTCTTTCTCTTTCTCTATCTCTCTGTTGGATCGATGTTACTAAATTGAGATGACTGATGTTAAACCGGTAACCGAAAGCTTTAAGTAAACAGAATCGAATAGCCCATAACCATCCTTTGGGATGATTCAAGGAATAATTAAATTGGAAATAATTTCTACCCCCATCCTTTACAAATAATCTCATGGATTATCTACTAGACGTAATAATAATAATAATAATAATAATAAAAAGAAAACGTTGAAATTTCGTAAGACGATAAAAGGGCAACGATTCGCGACGAGATTTCACTCGGATTTCTCAACAACGGAAAAGGCAACCCGTTTATAAATGCATTTGCTAAGGTATAGCAAATGATAGTGATAGTTAATGTTAGTGTAGTGGTGTAATATACATACGAAGTTACTATTACTACTATTATTCTTACAACTCTATTCGCTTTTCGTGATGGAACAAACGAAATCCGGAATCGTTGCCAAGTTTGGAAAAGTCCCATTCCCGTCATACTGAAAAGCACAGTGGTGTACATAACTTCGACCATTTCCTTCTTCACGTTGTCGTCGTCGTCGTAGTCATCCTTGTCGTAGTCCCTAGTTGTTCACCAATGAACTCCTCTACTACTACTCAAGGATATTTCTTTTTTTTTTTTGGTCTCCAATGCTATTATGGTTAAGTAACGCGACTACAAAGTGTTTTAACAACCACCGACAAATTATCCTTAATGTTAAACTATGAAATTTGGTCTTTTTAAATATGCTTTTAATTATTAACAATCTTTCTTTATTTTTTTGAAGTGAAACCTTCTTTAGAATGGGAGTGATTTGAAAAAAAGAAAACAAAAATCCATGTAAATATAATGAAACGATGAAACGATGAAACGATGAAGAGAATAAAACCATAAAAAGAATTAAAAAATGAACGAAACAATAACAGACAAAAGAAAAATAAAAATAAAATAATAATAATAATGTTGTTCGAAAGAATAAAAAAAGGATCAGGAAGGTTTGAAAATGGTTCTGGTTCCAATACAAGATCGTACGACGAAACCGAACGGTACAACGCGGTTTTATAAATTGATTAAAACCATTACTGGTAGAGTAAAGTGAACACA